TCAAAAACGTATTTTTAATTAATATCGTTTTGTATTTACTTGCAATGTTATTGCAATATTATTTTTAAATAGATTTTATTTTAAATTGTTAATTACTATTAAAAAAGGTTTTTTTATATATTAAAATATYTGATGTCCGAATATTTTGTATTTAGGTATACCCTAATGCTCGGACTTGTATATACGTACGTATGTACATATGTACCTATATTTTGTGCAATTGAGAGCTCGTTGAAGAGAWCAATTCGCTTTTTACATTAGCATGCACAAATTGTTGGTATGATTGATTCGGTAAATTTTTAGATCACGCCGACTTCTCTCACGTTCTTCCTCAAGTAACATAAATAAAAACGTTAGCGAATACATATTTTGTTTTCTATACAGCTGATTTCGAAACGTCAAAATTCAAAATTAAGTCTGGCAACAAAAGTTTCGAATTCACATGAATTCAATGATAGCAAATTATGCGTATTCGTAGCGGACATTTGTATTCGTAACTTCGCAACGATGGATTGCGTGATAGGGCTGATTAAAAATTCAAACGCTGCACAGCGAGAATCGAAAAAAAGGTATTACTCCCAATAGCAGTAGTCTCCATCGAACACAGAGGAGAACTGTTTAAACTTAGAGCCTAATAGACCAAGGATCACAACGATCTTTTATAGCTTCTAAGGCACAAAATAAATTAAAATTGCCAACAAGGCAAGCAAAATTTGAAATTACGGGAATGGGCGGAAGAGTAGTACAAAACTCTAACAAAATGTGACCCATTCCTAATTTCTCTCCGAGCGGATAAGCGCATTCAAGCAAATGCTATTGTCTTACCGCRACTAACAAACATGCTTCCAAGCTATCAAATAAATAGCAAGCATTGGGATAAAATTTCACATCTGACTCTAGCAGATCCCAACTGCAACACCCCTGCTCAAATAGACCTTCTAATAGGTAGCGATCTTATATCGCAAATTATACTAGAAGGTGTTGAAAAAATTTCGAAAACAMTACTGGCGCAAAATACCATTTTCGGATGGGTCCTAAGTGGACTAGTTGCGGAACCAGGCACAGCAATGAAAAGCCAAGTTGAGGAAATCTCAAACGAGTACCTCAATTCACAATTGAGAAAGTTTTGGGAGTTAGAAGAACTATTTCAATTACAACACCAGAAGATCAGTATTGTGAAGACTTTTACAAAGCCACAATTATTCGATCAGATAATGGTCGGTACGTCGTACGACTACCACTAAAACAACAATTTCCAGAAACACTCGCCTTAGGTCACTCTCGCACCTCTGCAATGCAGCAGTTTCTAAGTATGGAAAACTGAGCTGAAACAAGGTTATGATGGTGTTGTGGCAACCCCAAAGTGATGTGGCAACCCCAAATGCAACTTTGCAAAAGTAAGCTGTCAGATTGAAGAACCACCATCTTTCTTCTTGGCGCATCATCACGACTGCGAGCACGTCTCACCATTTTCAGTCTCCGAATTTTGTGTATCATTTTCATATTTTTGTACCAGTTTTTATATTAAAATAAATTAAACCTTATTGTGGACATCCCACAGTGTCTTAGAAGAATACCTTCATTTAGATCACATGGAGAAACTAAGCCCATGTGAAAAAATCA